ATTAAAATTTTAAATTATATTCACTTTAACTATTAATTTTTAAATTTTTAAACTTTTTTTTATAAGAAATGGAGAAATATATTGAATAAAAAAAAGTACAGTAAAAAACTTTATCACATGGCATATAGCCTAACGCATGAGAGCCTAAAAAGCAGAATCAGAAGCATAACCTACAGCTTAATAACAGATTTAAACTATACTCATGACGAATATAGATAATTAAGTAAAGAGAGCCATCTGCAACTAGAGATTACAACTACAATTGCTGTATAGGCTAAATAGGGCTACTAATGTAGAAAGGAGAGTCCTTATGAGTATCGAAAGTTACTGGACGTCCTCACCTAGTTAACCAGCTTCTCAGGGAAAGTAAAAGATTTCGGCAACGAACAGTCGCCAAACTATAGGTTGCCATCCAAACTATTCTTAAAAAATAATCAACAAGAGGAAAGGTATGGTCCTCCTCTGTGCAGTCGCCAGGTACCCTATTTGTTTGCAAGTGCACCCAAATATGTGCCCATCTGTTCCAATCCTCATCAAGCCCTTGCTACCATAGGTTAATAAAGGATCTAGAGCCCCTTTACCAGCTTGAGGACCATACTGCCCTTACAAAACATCATCAACTTCCTTCACAGTAAATTTGACCCTCCACACCAAAACTCGCTTTTGTCCCCCCATGCAGAACCCCAACCGGAATATGAGAATGCCCCTTTCCTTTTCCGATTTGCACAACGTAACATTGATGTCACCTAAACGCAACCAAAGCAGAGGAGAAACCATCTTTGGTTGGCTGAAAAACCCTGTTAATGGCCATTGACATCCACTCGGATCTACTATTACAACATCAATGTGAGATGGCCTCTCTCTACACAATTGCTCACAGAATAGCAAAGCCAACCCTAGATCTATTAATGGCGAGAAAGAGGAAACTTGAAGGTTAAGCTCATCCTTCCAGAACATAGTCAAGCCACCCCTTCTCTCTACACACAGAACAGTGAGCCAACCCTAGATCTATTCAGAGCAAATTCATCTCCATCCCCGATTGCTGTGTTGCAAGGAGTAAAGCAAGGTTTGGCATTGGTTGGAGGCACAATTGATTTGACTCAAAAATCAAGTAAAACTCTCCAAGGTTGCAATAAGTCCAGGCCAACATATACAGATGAGCCTTGGAAAGACCAAAAAGAAAAACAAGGGGAGAAGCCCTGCAAGAAAACAAGGAGAAGTGCCTAGGCGAGGGGCTCACACATCTTGAGGAAACCCTAGCGACGGTGAGAGAAAATTAATTTTTAAACTTAATCATCAAACAAACTTAAATTTCAATCACATCCCCCGTCAATTATAGTTTTATTGATTTTCAATTTTTTTTTTTATTGCAAAATTTTCGACCCATCCTTAATAATTTGGTCCGCGCGGGCGAGGCAGATATTTTTCTTATTTTATTTAAAAATTAATTGCATAATTCCAATTATCCAAATTATATGACTCTTTTTTCCTTTATCCGTAAGCGTTCGTTCTGTCCACCATTCAGTCACAGTCCATACCCAATCGGAAAAAAACTTTCCCGGAATATGGCTTTTCGCGGTTTTCCGTTCTTCTAAATCTAATTCCACCTCCCCCGCGCCCTGA